AGACCTGCTTTTAATTGAGATTGGATTTGGCAAGAAACCCTGCAAATATGACTGAGAAAAGGGAGAATCAATAATTTTCCAGGTTTTCAAAAGCTTCCTTCCTGTTAACTGGGAAATGATTTCATCATCCAAGTAGCTATTTTGCATGCAGACATGCTTTAAGTAGGAATTTCCCAGGAAGCCTTCTTGAAGAATTCATCCAGCTGTTCTTTTTTACTTTTGTAGTGTATGTAGATGCAGATGCAGTAAAGTTTAAGTTGATTGAGGAGAATGTGGCTGAGAAATTAGCATACCTGCCTTTTATGGGTACAATACATCGTGGGCATTAAAGTGAATGAATGTGTTTTAACCCTGTCACTTGTGTGTTTAGCTGATTGCAGAGCGAAGAATGTTTGAACCTTGGGATTCTAGGGGCAAGAGGAAGCTAGGTAAAGTTGTACAGGGTGGAAGACAATCACCTCTTCAGATGAAAGATTGGGAGCTCACACTCCTCAGTAGGCTTCCCAATTCACAGGCACTCATTGTGTCCACAGTTAGAAAGGCAAGCCTGATAGATTTTTGAACAAGAGCTGTCAAAAATCCATTAACAGTCTTGCAAGGACACATACCACAGCTGAATATGGGTCACGAACAGCAAACATTGCAAGAGAGCAGAGAAGAGCACGTTTTCGTTCCATAGGCAGAGGGTGGCATCAAAGTTCTTGCAATTCACGCAGTCAGCTGGATGATTATGGAAAACATTCCATTCAAGTTGATTTGATCTCATGTCTTATTAAATTCTGTATTTAATCAAATCAAGGTTAATGAGAATAGGGGGAAAGAAAACTAAACAAACACAAGGTTAGGAAATTTAGACACCTTTTCAATTAGCACCTTGTAGCCCTCCTTTCGCAGAAAACACAGCTTCCAACTATTTGCTACAGGCAGCTATATATCTTTTTTTCTCTTACTTTTGGTGTGCTTTCTTGTAGAATTCTTCTAGTTCAAGAATATTTTTAGAACTCTTTGCATGCACTTCATGTTTGAGATCTCTCCACATTTTTTAAAATAATATACAACTTTGGGAACCGTGGCAGCCATTCTAAAGACTTTCTCTTTCCCTCTTGTAATTGCTTCATGATTGATTTGGGAAACTATTTTGGACCGTTGTCTCATTAATATTTCCAAGCTCGTTTCAGTTTCTTCACTGACTATGGAACATTAGCTTCTTGGAAATGTTGAAATTTTGTAGAATCCATCCTTCCTTCCGCCCACATAATACTTCCTGTGCTACTGGATGCTATATAATCCTCTTGCTCAATGCCTGGCAAAATGTCCTTTTCTTTAAATTCCTCAGACATTTTTCTTGAAATGTTTCCCGTGCAGTGCCTAAAGAAGTCAACATTGGTTTTTATCAGTCAAAAGCAATTTGTTCCAAAAGGTTTTTGGCTTATCAAAGTTTGTTGGTTTATGTGTATGCAACACTGAAACAATAACCTGTGATGAGATTAGAGAAAATATTTCTTTCGGATAACACTCTGATGAAGATTACTGTTGTATAATCAGTACTGCATAGAGGACTTTGGGGCAACTACTTCAGTGTCAGTTAAATGTTTTGGCAAGTCTTTAGCAGTGATCTATAGGACTGTGATAGCTAACCTTTTTGTTGTAATGTGCTGAAAGTGTGTGTGTGATAGTGCACGTGAGCACCTGCAGCCATTATGCAATGCGTACCTGACCCTGCCCACCGTGCATTCATACGCAACCCTCCTGTGCATGCGCCCACCCCCCCTCACCTATTTTTGCCTTCCAAGTTGGTGCAACCCATTTTGAGCCTGGAAGACCTCCTGCACCAACCTGGAAGCCAAAATTGGGTGCAGGGGTGCATTGCCTCAAAATGCAATGCAAGCGCCCCCCTGTGCATGCACCCAGCCCCCTTGTGCATGGGCCCAGCCCCCCTGTGCATGCACCCAGCCCCCTTGTGCATGGGCCCAGCCCCCCTGTGCATGCACACAGCCCCCTTGTGCATGCACACAGCCCCCCTGTGCATGCACACAGCCCCCCTGCACATGCACAGCCATGACCCGAAGACTGGCTGGGCAGTGGGAGTCACACTCCCATGCGGAATGGAGCTGGGCTAGGGCAACATCTGATGTGCCATAGGTTTGCCATCAGGGCTATAGGAAATATTTGGAAGCTGTTGTTTCTACCAAAACAGGTATTGACTGAAAAGGTGCACAGCTTTTCGGTCTGTGATATTAACTGTTTTGTTTTTTTTTGACTGTGTAAATAACTATCCATAAATTATGGGGAAACCCACTCACATTTTCAGAAAATGTTGCATTTAACCTTTTACCATGTAGAAGTTGTGTCAATTTCTGTTCACTTCAGGAGTCCAAGAGCCTAAGCTTTTATATACAGTTGTGAAAAGACTGGAAGAAGAGCAATCAATTCAAAGTGTTGTGCATTTAACAGGTTTCCTAAAACAGGGGTCTCCAACCAACCCCTGATCCAAGGATCAGCACCGGTCCATGGCATGCCAGCAGCCAGTCTGCACAAACAAGCAAAACCCTTCCTGGGGTTCCGGCAGGCAGCCTGCAAAACCATGCTCCCTCCAGTCCGCGTAAAAACCTGTCTCCATGGAATCTGTTCCTGGTGCCCCAAAGGTTGGGGGCTCCTGTTCTAAAGCATGATTATGCTGCAAGATAATAGGACAGCCACTGACAGTGTATGCATATTATATTCCCATCTCTAACAAATAAAAAATTGTCCTATGATGAGACAATCTGGGATGCATTGTCATGTCGTGGAAAGTTACAAATACAAGGAAATATAATTTGGCAATGTTAATATGCTTCAGGGAAGTAGGCTTGGAAAACTGGATTCAGGAATATGATATTCTCTTCTAATATTCTGCCAGTAGGAATCCTGTGTAAAATTAGTACAGAGCCAACCTTTCACTGGCTCTTTCAGACCTTTCAGTATAATTCCATCCATATAAATAAATAAAAACCTTCATATTGTCTGAATATTAGGCCATAGCTAGTTCATTTATGGTTGCTTTGACTGATCCATAGTTGGCGGCATTCACATGTCATGCCAAGCTATAAAACATGATTTATAAAACATAATGGATAGTAATAAAAAAAACTCATCATGACCCAGTATATAAACTAAATCCCAAACCAATCTTGTATATGATCCAAATCAATAGATAATCATTCTAACTACAAACAAACAAACAAACAAACAAATTTAACTAGTATCTCCTGTTCTTACATTAAATCTAAAAAAAACTTTTATCAGGTTGGTCTCTATTCTAATTTTTAAATTAATATGCACCTGTTTTTACAATCCCATTAATTTGGCATCAGGATTTTAGAGCGTTTACTAGAGGAGGATAAAAAAAGCATAATAAACTTGAAGGGATACCACAATATATCTGCTCATAATAAGTATTTAGAGGTGTTACCCTTGGCTTAAAGGAAATCGTTTAGAGAACAATTATGTTTCAAAAGAGAATCATTCTCGTAAAGAATTTAAATTTAAATTTAAATCAAGATTTTTTTAAGCGTGCCAGAGCTATAATTACAATGCCTGAAGTGATTTCTGCTCTATAGAGAAGGGTCATTTCATCACAAAATTGCCTTGGAAAATTTGAATAATGTGAGCCTGAAATTTGCTTCAGCTTCTTCACAGGATGGAGATATCCCCACGCCCTATGAAAAAGCTGAATTTTCTTAAGCAATTTAAGAGGGGATAAAGGCACTATTCTCAATTTAAAATTATCTCTTTGTGCCCTTGAGACACAAACTCAAACACCTTCCCTGCAGTCTCTCAGCCTTCTTTCAATTGCCTGCACAGCCAGAAAAATCTCCCTAGATTTTTCTTTTTCTCTCTGTCTCTCTCTCTTTAAAAAAATCTTTTTGGCTCATTATAAATTAAGTGGTAGGCTGTACATGTTTCTCTGGAGGCATCATCCAACGAGGGTTTCTATCCCCTCAAATTTAGTGAAGCATTTGTTGTCTGAGGTTTTTGTTTTTAGACTTTGCAGAAAAAAGTGACAGCTGAATGCAGAGCAGTTGCATATTTGTCATAAAATCCAAAGCCACCCTTAGACTGGTCTATATTTTTATCATGTTAACCTAACTTGGGTATATTCAGAGGTTCTGTCTATTTAGGGGATAGACAATATTTATTTATTTATAGCATCATTCTCTATAATGTAGCACACAACTATACATATTAATGGTTGATCAGAGCCAACAACTCTTCCTCTTTAGTCCTTAGAATGCATCCTACTTCATAATGGAGGCTCTGCAGTGTTTCAGAATTTAGAAGCAGAAAAGGGGAAATATAGTGAGGGGTCCTTGGTGCTCTCTGAGCTTAGTTGTTTTTTGCAGACGAGGTAACACCATCAATAGCTATTGATGGTGTTATTGATGGTGTTACCTAGTTTGGGTAATGAAACGTCTGCAAGAAAACAACCAAACTCAGAGAGCACCAAGGACCCCTCATTTCAACCAGGAGCTACAAATATTCTCCTTTGTTGGAAAATATAATGTCTGCCTACAGAATCTTAAAACAAAATGCACCTTTTTGGGGGATCTCTTGGCAGCTCCAAAATCCTAGGAAAAGACACAATTGCATTTAGGAGCTGCTGATAAAGATACTGCATTCCATCATAAAATTCCCTTGGAAAATTTCAATAATAAATAATAAGTAAATAATAAAAGCACTTTCAACCCAAAGCACTGAATATTCCATACTCCCTTAGGCAGCTGGCAGACAGGTTACGGTCATTTCAATTACAGATCACTGGAGTTTTAAAGCAATTATTTAACTAAATGTTCTGCTTTGTTTTTACTTCGTTACATATGGTGCCAAAGGCAGATGGGAATTTTTTTAATATACTCAGCATGTTCTACATTCATATAAGATATTAATAATCAGATTCCCTTATCGATGGTGGCATGTGGAAATTTGTATATCAATTGTCCTCTCCTTTCTGTTTCCAACAGGAGTAACCAAGGGTTTATGCACATGAAGTTGGCAAAGACCAAAGAGAAGTATATTTTGGGTCAGAACAGCCCTCCTTTTGACAGCGTGCCTGAGGTTATTCACTACTACACTGCAAAGAAACTGCCTATCAAAGGAGCTGAACATTTGTCCCTCCTGTACCCTGTAGCTGTCCGGACCTTATAATTGTTCTACGCTCGCTCCTTCCTGTGGATTGGAGATTGAAGGCTGCAGCAGCAGAAGGATCCCTGCATTGGCAGCATTTCTTGGAAACAGAGGACCCCTTTCGGTCTTTCCAGAAACAGACTGTTGTATAGTAGTATGAGTGGAATTGTTGCACTACTTTGCATGTCCTGTGTGGAAACGTTGGCTTCTATTTATATGAGAGAAAATGGATTCAGACATACAAGAAGAAATGCCTCTTTTTACAGAAATCCCACCCTCCCATGCTCCCAGGAATGGAAATCTTGCCAAACCCAAAGAAAGCTCTTGAAAACTTTCTGCCTGTGGGCCCACAACGTGCTCCCTTCCTAGCTATATTTGTGGGGAGGGGAGAATACATTCAGACCGAATCTGCAAATGGACACATTCCCTTCTGGGAGCGGAGTGGAAGGGGAGAAAAGAAAACTGGGTTTGCTACACACTCCAGACTTGGGAATTACTTATTACACACTCAACCCCAGATTTGTGATATTGTTTTCATGCGCAAATTAACCCAACATAAAGACGCCCCTCCCCCCTTTTTTGTCTTAATGAGGATGTCATTTTAAAGATCTCAATGAGTAATTTTGCTATGGCAGAAAGTGTTTGGTTATTTATGAATAGGGTATGTACTTAAATAGTGGTTTAATATATAAACATATATAAATATATTTTTATTCCCCTCTCCTTGTGCGGGGGGAGGGGTACAACAATAAAGCTCTAAGGGTTTTTTGTGCCGATTCCTAATTTAAAGGCGATGACTCAGTTCTGTTTTTTGTTGTGTACGTACAGTGTAAGTGGTGATGGTTCACTGATTTCCCAAGGAAGGTCAGGGTGGCAAGGGTTGATGTTTCATGACCATTTCAGACCTAATGACCCTTCTACAGACAGGCTTCCTCAAGTTGATAATGGCATCCGTGTGAAGAGTGGCCCCACCTCAGGGATATGAGGGAAACCCATGGATAACTTTCTGTTGTTGTTTTTCAAAATTACTAATGCGTAACAAAATGTAAACTAGGCCTACTTTGTCCCTCCCCCCCAAAAAAATATATATATTTTGTCATGCATAGAAATCGGGGTAGTTTCTGTACTCCACACATCTTGTCACTTTCTTCATAACCATTTGGAATAATTGCTTCCAAAGCTCTCTTATCCTTCACCCTGTCACAACACTTGGCTTCTACCTCATTTATAAAGTATAGGCCCATCTCTCTTCTTCTGCCAGGTCTGGCATGTATTTTTCTCCCTCATAAAACCAATTTAATTGGCAGCCTCTTGATGTGCTTCTTCTTTTATACTAATGGCAGATACATTCTTACAGAACCAGTTTTTCCCTTTAAAACATCCAATAAACTGGATTTAAGATAGGAAGAAGCACATCATACTAGGGGTCAGGTGTTCAACCAGCCGCAGTTTATTAAATTTGTTAAAATACCGAGCCCCAATCTTCTGCATCACTCTTGTTTATAGCACTACCCATTTCTACATTGGTGCTCTGAGTCAAGATTCAAATTTGCAGTTTTCACTTTCTCTTTGTTGCAATAAGATTGTAAAATTAACATTTTAACTAGACTGCCTTCAAAAAATACAACTCCCTTTCATTCATATGCTGGTTTAGAAGTATAATGGAATAATTGTTACTCCAGTGACTGTGTAAAATACTGGTTTGTTGTACTATACAATGTGAAAAAAAAGTCCTCAGATGATCTGGTTTATAAATAGTATCTTTGTTGCCTGATTCATTTTCGTCCCATATAGACCATTTTTTTCAGTATGGTATGGATGACAGAATTCTGATTTACCTGTTTGAGAACAAAGAAATCTCTGTAAAATGCGTGTTGAATTGGCTGCCACTAATGTAAAAGAATGTTTAAAATAATTTTGCATGCCAAGTGTCCCTGTTGCTATTTGTTTTTTAACAGATACTGTGGGATTTTCTCCCTTAAATGAAGTAAAAAAAGCATTTTAAACAAAACAAAACAAAATCAAAACACTTGAGTTCCTTTTTTATTTTCTTCTCAGGTTTTCTCCATAGAATGCATCTTTGCTCCACACAACTTCCAGATTCCCCAAAGTTATTTAAAGAATGGTCTACAATTTAATCTCTGTTAGCTTCATATATAATACAACTTATAATACAATAGCAGAGTTGGAAGGGACCTTGGAGGTCTTCTAGTCCAACCCCCTGCCTAGGCAGGAAACACACCTTTTTTACATTGTGGCGATCAAAATAGCAATAGCAGTAGACTTATGAATGCATAAAACTGAATGCAGTATTCCAAGTGTGGCCTTACCAAAGCATTATAAAGTGGTATTAACACTTCACGTGATCTTGAAGGGATCTTCTATCCCTGTGTTTATGCAGCCTAGAACTGTGTTGGCTTTTTTGGCAGCTGCTGGACATTGCTGGCTCATATTTAAATGATTGTCCACTAGGACTCCAAGATGCCTCTCACAGTTACTACTATTGAGCAAGGTACCACCTATACTGTACCTGTGCATTTTGTTTTTCTGGCCTAAATGTAGAACCTTACTTTTTTTACCATTGAATTTCATTTTGTTAGATAGTGCCCAATGTTCAAGTTCGTCAAGATCCTTCTGTATCTTAAACCTATCTATCTATCCTATTGAAAACATGTAAAAAGTTATAATATAATTCATTCACTTAAAGTGTGTTCAGCCATTGTTGGAAGCATTTTTGTAGCTGCTTTTTCAATTTGTCGTAGAATGCAGACTAAATTTTGTAAAGTCCCTGTATTCTGAAGAGCAGTTTGATCTAGTAGTTAAAGCACCAGGCTAGAAACCAGGAGAGGTGACTTCTAGTCTCGTCTTAGACATGAAAGCCAACAATGACTTTGGGCCAGTCACACGTTCTCAGCCCCACTCATTTCACAGGATTGTGGGGAGACTAAGAGGAGGAAGGAGTATTAGGTACGTTCACTGCCTTGAGTTATTTATTTTAAAAAGGCAGGATTTTCTTACAAATCTAATAAATAAAAACTTATGCCTATACACCACTGTTTGCCAGTATATGTAATTGTTTTAAGGGCCGATTGTTCCTGGATCTATCAAATATCAGAAGGATTAAAACAAGTTTTTACCTGCCAGTAAGATGACAGCACTTTGGTGTCTCAATAAAGGAGAATATTTGCAGCTCAAGATTGAAATGAGGGGTCTTTGGTGCTCTCTGTGTTTGGTTGATTTTTTGCCGAGGTTTCAATATTCGAACTGGGTAAAATCATCAGTATTAGGCCTGATGACATTACCTAGCTTGAGTAATGAAACATTTGCAAGAAAACAACCAAGCTCAGGAGCACCAAGGACCCCTCAGTCTGGGGTTTCTATTCCAGCCACAACAAAATTAATCATGAAATGCCTTTATTGAAGGCATTTCTATGCTGCAGCATGTAATATCAGCCTCAAACATGACTTCAGTTTCAATCACTATTCCATAATGCCATTTAGCAATTCTTGCAGAGGGATTTGGAATCCAGTGTGCATTACCTTGATACCAGAAGGGGGGAAACAACTATATTTTCAGACATAGGGTTATAGGCAGAGGTAGGTTGCTCCCGGTTCAGCTCAGATCGAGTGAACCAGTAGTAGCGGCAGCGGGAGGCTCCGCCCACCCACCCGGAGTGTGCATGGGAGCATGCTCAAACCGGTAGTAAAAAAAATTGGCAACCACCCCCCCCCCACCGTTTATTCAACTTTAAGTCTTTTCTTTGCATAAAATTCATTTGCCACTAGAGAAATTATTTTAGCTTTGCTACTAATTTCAGGAGACCAAATTTCCAGTCCCTTGTGATTCTGAATTGTAATGGTATAGATGTGCTACCTGAATTGCAAAAATACTGAATAGGCCTGAAGACAAGAGGAACCCATTCATTCTCCATAACTACTACTACTATCATTGTACAGATTATCTCATCCTTCAACCTTCCATTTTAATTTTCATGGCACACTATCATCTTTGACTGTCTTTTTTCTTCTTCTTCTGAGAAAATAGGGACATCTGGAACTATTAGAAAAAGCAGGTCCATCACATGTTTCTTGGAAGCCAGTGCTGGTCACTTACAGGTGCTCAACCATACTGAGTTGTCTTCTTTCAAAAGAGAGTTTGAGATTCCCCCTTTTGAATGTGGAACTTCTGTCCAGTCTTGCCTCATCCCTATTTTGAATCCCTTCTCAGTACTCTAGATAATAGATATGAACCTGTGTAATATACTCCGCACCAACACAATTAAATTCTGCACCCAATGAAGTTGATTTGAAAAGAGTTCATTGAACATATAAATTATGAATGCAGCTTTGAGTCCTCTCCTCAGTTTGAGGAAGAAACGGGCTTTGGAATAGCTCAGGACACAGGAGACCCTCTCATAAACACCCAAGTACATCTCTAGCTTCAGATAAGTATAGCGCTATTATCGCTACTCATCTAAGCATATATTTGCAGCATATAAAGCAGATGGATGTTGTAGTTAACAGTTTTGTCTTTCATCAGCCTGGGTCCCCAAACACGCAACACTCACTACCTTCTTCCTGCAGAGCAGTAACACACCCATTTGTCCTCACTGTCATTTGTAACTCACGTACAGAGGCAGCCCCTGACATATCTAAAACAACCCAAACTTTAGCAGAGCTGGCTGGAAAGTCACCACGAAAGCCCAGGGTTCAAGAGTGAGGTGGCACAGTGGTTAGGGTGCAGTACTGCAGGCCACTTCAGCTGACTGCTATCTGCAGTTCAGCGGTTCAAATCTCACCAGCTCAAGGTTGACTCAGCCTTCCATCCTTCCGAGGTGGGTGAAATGAGGACCCAGACTGTGGGGGCGATATGCTGACTCTGTAAACCACTTAGAGAGGGCTGAAAGCCCTATGAAGTGGTATATAAGTCTAACTGCTATTGCTATTGCTATTGCTATGGCAAACTATTACGTCTCTATAAAGTCACCTGGCTTGAAACTTGACTCAAGTTTGTATCTTTTCTCCCAGCTTTAACACAGATATTGTAGAAGGAGCAGACAAGAAAAGCAGAATACCAGTATGTTCAGTCTAAAGAGGCAAGTTTACAAACACCTTAGTTATTTTTATGTCTCTTCTCCTTTCATGCTAGAGAGGCAACCTTTCCTTTCCTTATCCTTGCCTGCCCTTGGCAAGCTTCCTTCAACATTTTTACTTCTTGCTTGACCTACTGGTCAAAGATAACACACTGTCACATCATTCCCTAGGTTCTTGATGCCAGCAGTATCTCACACCCAGTCTGATCTGGTTTCTAATGGCCATGTCAATCACAGTGCACAAAACATTCTACAAGGCAGATCTCGGCTTGTTATCATCACCTCATATGGTCATGTTTTTTTTAGCAAGTCTGCATCAATAACAGATTTATTTGGCCCTCCCATGATCTGTCCAATCTGAATGGGCAACAAATTGCACTTGTTCCTATATCCACCTTTGCTAATTTTGTGTGGGGCTTCATCCTGGAATTGAGAAGACAGGGCACTTTTTAAAAGCATCTTCCCATGCCCAGCAGTTATGAAGGGACATTTTCTTCTACCCATAGAGTGTGTTCTTTCCCATTTGCACATTAATTAGCATACCAGCTAGTTGCACCATTTGTGTTTAAATTATGTTGTTTATTTAAATTACTTTTACATGCATATTCACTCAAAAGTGTGTTTTGCATTCTATTTTTATGCTTTAAAATAAAAATAAAAAAGCCAATAATT